TTTACCTATCTATCAATCCATCTATCTATTAGTCTGTCTATCTATCTATCCATTAAGCTATCGATCTCTCTATCTCCCTTTCTTACCCAGTGGAGCCTCTCTGAGAGCCCAGCATCCCTCTCCTGCCTCTGCCTCCGTCCTGGTTTCTCTCTGCGAACTCCAGGAGAGTGAGGGTGGCGAGGGCGGAGAACACGGCGAGCAGGATGTAGAACTGCTCACGTCGGGGCGCCATGGCAGTGCTGTGTGAGGAGGAGAAAGAAAATAGAGGATATTTTGTGACACACACGCACCATTCTGAGAAGCATGTCCATTCCCGGCAAGATCTTGCGCGTGCAGAGCCGTTAGACGCGTGGGCGTGCGCGTGCAGCTCCTAGAAGTAGGAGTAGAGTTAAAGTCGAAAAAATCCAATAAAACATTTTGTAAAAGCATAAAAGTATCAATGTTTTTAAAATATCAAATTATAAGTTGACATGCATCAATCATCTTCTAATGACAAAAAATCAATAAATGATAAAAAGAAAAATCATATACAACACATAACTTTAGGCAGAAAGAAAACGGGAAATATGCAGGAAAATATTTTGATAAATAATAATAAAAAAAAGTAAGAATAGTACAAATGACAAAATTTCGAAAATGGATATTAATCTACGCACAAAAGAAAAACGAGGTCTCTACCCTTTCCCAGCTTTAAAGTACCTCAGAAACACATATGTGCATTACCTATTCTTAAATCAATCCTGAATATCTAAGTCTTACCTCAAATCAGTGCTCTCTCCCTCTATTCACCAACCGTACAGCTTCATTACCATCTAACATTTGCCTTTTTTCCGGGAAAACTTTGCGACGAACCAAAATGCAAAAATGTGTATGTAGATGAATACATAAAAGGAAGAAAATATAATAGGGTGAGTAAGCAAATTGTAAAATGTGCCCACTTTTTTTTTTTTTTTTTACATTTTTACTTTTTTTTTCCTGTTAATTCCAGCCAATGTATTAAGTTTTTCCGAACTGTTTGAGTTACGTGGTCTTGATCGACTTTTTATATATCTTTTATTAATTTATAATAATAATGATAATGATGATACTAAAGATATTTATGATAATAACAATTGTTATTATCATCATTGTTACTGCTATTATCATTGATATCATTATCCTTACTTTTGTTATTATCATTATCATTATTATTATTATTAATATTATTATCATTATTATTATTATTATTATTATTATTATTATTATTATTATTATCATTATTATCATTATTATCATTATCATCATCATCATCATCATTATTATTATTATTATTATTATTATTATTATTATTATTATTGCTGTTGTTATTATAATCATTATCTTTATTACCATCGTTGAAACTTCATTGGCAGCCTTTCTTTGTAAGTTGACTTCAGCTTTGTAATAGTAATTGTGACAAATTAGTAGACTAGCTTTGGTCATTTCTATTTAAGATAACAAATCTAATGATACAGGTGGTCTTTCGGCCATTTCGCCCTCGTGAGCCGCTACAGAAAGATATATTTATATCTATATCTATATGTGTGTGTGTGTGTGTGTTTGTTTGTTTGTGTGTGTGCGTGTATGTGTGTGTGTGTGTGTGTGTGTGTGTGTATTAACATGCGACAACATGTCCTCCTCGTGGGCACTTTTTAATTTATTGTGAGGTTAGTTGGTCTCGGTTGCATATATATATAAAATGACGCTCAAGTTCATTCGATAATGATAATAACATATTTTAAGCACTCTAAGTATATTTGATAGAGGTATATGTGTATCTTTAGACCCTTAAATATCTATATTTTCTTATGTTTTATGTTGCATATAATAATAAACACGGCAGTAAATGTTCTTATAAATAAGGAAAACGAAAAATGACGTGAGAGGCAGATGCAGCATAAATCATTATAATGAACCAGAGAATTGTAACGTGGCAAAGAGGTTGCTTTAATAGGACTATGATATTTATGATAAAGAGTATTAAGTTACTTGTCCTGTTAGGCTTCATCACAAAATCACAAAATGATGATAATGAATAAATTATCATATTCACAGGATGAAGATTATCGAAATACGTTAACGCATATTGCATCAGTATTATTAAACTTATGAGTTGAACTTATATATATATATATATATATATATATATATATATATATATATATATATATATATATATATATATATGCATGTGTGTGTGTGTGTGTGTGTGTGTATGTGTGTGTGTGTGTGTGTGTGTGCTACCTTACATGATTCTGAAATTCAGCACAAAATAAATCCAGGATTGTAAAATCAACAAGGTACGAATAACAAAACGGAGTGATGAAAACTAAAAGAAAAAGAAAAGAATCAATATTGGAAGCTAGTTAGTTAATGCTGTATGGGCCTAGTGCAACTCACTCCCTTATCCCCTATCTTTCTCTTTTTTTCTTTAACCCCCCCCCTTGTTTCTCTTCTGTTTCCCCTTCTTCATCACTCTTCT